CGATAGCACGGGTAGGCCTATTTTTGCCTCAAACTTTTGATACGTTTTGCTGTGAAGACTGAAACAATCGTGGAACAATACTGCATACAGCCTTTGCCAGTTTGATAAAAGTAAGCGGTCATCACGGCCCCAGCATTACAGCGTACGTGTACTGTGAGGAACTGGACACAATAATGGAGAAGAGAACTGCTGGTAGGACCTCTTGTGAGTCCGCACGGGTAGGTACCACCACCCCGACTATTTCTGCCGTGAACTAGTAATGCGTTTCGGTTTGAAGGGTGGGGCAGCCGTTGTAACTATACTGAGACCTTAGAACTTATATCCCAAGGTGGGTGGCGCATTTACGTTGTAGATGTCTATGGGTTCCAGTAACCACTTAACACCAGGTGGGCTTTGAGCTCGTCCACCGATCTAAGCAATAAAAAATTTAAAAAAGCTCCAGCCAGCTTAGTTAATCACTCATCTCCGCTGCTCCTACATGACCTCATACGGCTCAACATATGGTCTCTAAGTTACAAGACCGAGAGTTAGAAGTTAAGTTACAAGACCGAGAGTTTTGCGTCATTCATTGAACTCATGAGACCTTGCGCCGAGAGGTTCAATGCTTGGATTACATTTTAGCAGGAAAAAAAAATTAATATCCGAGAGGCAGTACAAAATGCCTTAAAAGAGTTTGTTCGCTACCTGCACACCTGAGTTCTTCAAGAAGGGCATTAAAAAATTACAACTGCGCTTACAGAAATATATCGATATGATTAGTTGATATTTCTGAGATAATAGTAAACATACCATTCAAGTTAATATACCTAGTCTTGCCATAAATACTGAAACAAAGGAAAAAAAAATTCTATTGCAAATAACATTTATTACTTTTACAGTGTGTTAGTTTAATACATAAATATAAAACAATTTGTAGACGCGAGATAAGCAAACTATGAAAATATTTAAAATTTGGTCGTTGCAAATGAAGGACACAGACTGCGGGAAGAAACGATAAGAAGCGGCAGTTCTGCGTTAAAGGAAGGATGCACAATACCTTTATGTAGTCCTTACTGCAGACTCGTACCACTTCGCGATGAGAAACACCAACGATTTCACTTATTTACGTATTTAACATANGATTCTCTCGATATTTTATAAAAAAACTTGGTTTGATTTACTAATGTGTTTTTCATTATATACCGTTGATTGAATATTAAGGCAATTTTGAAACACTCAAGTTGATTTTCACAATAAAAATGAATTTAAAAGTAGTAGTCTGTGAGACGTCATGTCCTTTATAGTGTTATAAATTTGGCGTGTCACCAGTTAAAGGTTAACACCAGGTGGGCTGTGAGCTCGTCCACCGATCTAAGCAATAAAAAATTTAAAAAAGCTCCAGCCAGCTTTAGTTAATCACTCATCTCCGCTGCTCCTACATGACCTCATACGGCGCAACATATTGTCTCTAAGCTACAAGACCGAGAGTTAGAAGTTTTGCGTCATTCATTGAACTCACGAGACTTTGCGCCGGGAGGTTCAATGCTTGGACTACATTTTAGCAGAAAAAAAAACTTCATATCCGAGAGGCAGTACAAAATGCCTTAAAAGAGTTTGTTCGCTACCTGCACACCTGAGTTCTTCAAGAAGGGCATTAAAAAATTACAACTGCGTTTACAGAAATATATCGATATGATTGGTTGATATTTCTGAGATAATAGTAAAAATACCTTTCAAGTTATTTATTAATATATACCTAGTCTTGCCATAAATACTGAAACAAAGGAAAAAATAATTCAATTGCAAATAACATTTATTACTTTTACAGTGTGTTAGTTTAATACATAAATATAAAACAATTTAAAATATAAAAAGCTTATTCGAAGTGGTCTTCATTGGCTGCAATACAGTCCTTTAAACGTTGAGGCCAGTTATCAATAGAAGCACGCATTCTTTCCATGGGAAAATTTTTCACTGCCAATCGTACGGATTGTTTTAGGGACTCCAAATTATCATGGCGCTTAGAGCAAGCCGTACTCTCTAAAACTGACCATAAATCATAATCCAGCGGATTAAGATCGGGACTAGACGACAGCCAGTCTTCAGCTCTCATGAAGTCCGAAACGTTCGTTTCCAACCAAGACTGCGTAGACCGAGTCTTGCTGGAAGGACCATTCTTGATTATTGAACATGTTGTTGTTGAGGGGCAAAGTATCAAGATACCTTCGCAAGAATGGTATCTTGATACACTTGTGCCGATTTTTTGATACCTTTTTCACAAAAGTATGGCTCAGTCACTCCTTCATAGCTAATACCCCACCAAACCATCACTGAAGTCGGGTAGTGCCCACGTTGCACTCTGTCGACTAATTGGGAAGCTTCCTTCGAGCTTTGAGCATAGATACGGTTATTTTGTTTGTTAAAATGTTGCTCAATTGTAAAAGTTTTCTCATCCGTAAACAAAAATTTTCTATGACCTCCCTTTGCGTACCGTTTCAGTAGTTGTTTCGATTTTACCACCCTATTCTCTTTTAAATTATCAGTTAAGAAATGACCAGTACGTCTCTTATAGGCTACAAGTCCTAAGTCATCTTTTAAAATACGCGACATGGGTCTAGGTGCTATCTTCATCTCCCGAGATAAAATCTTTTGCTTTCGGACAAGATTTCTTCGAATTCTTTCCCTTACTGCTTTGACCACCTTTTTCGTACGAACACTACGTGGACGGCCAGATCTTTTTCTGTCACAAACAGAGGAGGTCTCATTGCACCTATTAATAGCCCGGTACACAAACATTTTATTAATACCAAGCGTATGGAGAGTTTTAAAAAAAAGCATTTGGTTCTATACCTACTTTGTGTAATGCAATCACAGCGATTCGGTTCTCTTTATCACCCCACTCCATTTTAATATCGCAAAATATTATACAATGTATTGGCGCCAAAATGAGAAAACTCAATGAGCAATCATATAAAAATGACAGATTCCAAATTCAAATGTAATATTTTGTTTATTTTTAATTGTAACAGTATTTATGGCCAGACTAAGTATATATATATATATATATGTTGTCCTTAGTTCGCATTGTGTGTAATAATAATAAAGTATATAAGTAGTATAATAATATAGTGTCATTGAGGTATTGTGTTTATTTCAAAACATTATTTGAGAATAAAATATATTTAGTCTTAGATGTATAAACTATGTCATTCATTATATATTATGATGGCTTCTATAGAATCAAAGGTACACAGTTGTTATAAATACTACTAAGCCCTTTTTCTATTCTGCTGTATACACTTTAAATCTGTTTCGAAATTCAGTGCAAGGCTGTATATATTACAAAATAATATAATATAATGTTGCTTTCCAGAATTCATTAGCCTTCTCGCAAATAATTGGTTAGAATTATCTGATAAAAATTATGTGTTTAACAATTTTCATTACTACAATGCGACGTAAGCGCGACGAGACACTATCTCCCGTAGATAGGTACGGCTGCTGTGCGATAACGAAGCATGGATCCACAAAATACGAACAAACACAGCCACAAATATTAGTGGTAGGGATTGTGAGACCACACGGATACTGGCCCCCAATTCTTACGCGAGGCAGTAATACGCTCAAATCTAAAGTGATCAGAATGGGTGTGAGTTTGAGATTCACGGGTGAAAGAGCGTTTTGTGAGCCCGCACGGGTAGGTACCACCACCCCTATTTGCGTCGCGAAGCTGTAATGCGTTACGGGAAGAAGGATGGAGGACCTTTTGTACTATAGAACTATGGACTTAGAACTCATGTCTCAAAAGGGTAGCGGCATTTACTTTGTTGATGTCTATGAGCTCGAACATCTCTATACCTGGTGGACCGTGAGGTTGTTCACTTCTCTAAAGAATAGTCCTTAGACATTACAAGGTGAATGCCAACATCCACCTTGTCACGTGAGCTCTAAGTCTCCATTGCATTGTCCAATGGTGATCCCAGTTCTTAAACGGCCCCACGTTATAAGCCACATAACGGGTTCGCGGCAGAAATAAGAAATGCTTGTAAACTCACAAATTCTCGGCTTCAAATTTATACATAATATTTGTGTATTTCAATTTTCTTCCTACAAAAATCTTTGACTTGGCGCGTGTTATTAGTTGTTCGGAATTTTAATAATCGATCTATATATTCATCAGCCCACAGATGCTGGCTGGTGGTCATGGGCCTCGTCACAATGACTGGCTCTGCTCTGTCTACATCCAGCGGATTCCGCAGACCTTCAACAGGCCGTCGACCCACCTTGTGGGAGACAAGCAACGTTGCAAGTCCCATCCTCCTGGTTCCAGTGAGCTATCATGACGGTAACGTGCGGCGCAGCCTTGACCTCGACCATTCCGGGAGGAGACTACCTTCTCACAGGGGCCAGATCTGGACGAACGCCCTCCTCCGATGAAGGGCACGGCGCCAAGAGGAAAAAATAACGTTTCTTCTCCCGTTCCGCGGCCTAGTCCCAAACCTACATTATTACATGATGGATGCCGTTCATAAACATGAGCATACAATATGTGTCGCTTCCTTGCCGCAGATTTAACCGCGGCACAGTCTCTCACCCACCAGTAAGTTCTCCAATCGTCGTAAGCTATAGTTTACTTGGAGGTTTGATGAGTCCTCTGCAATACCTAGTTGACTTCAGTAGCCCTGAGTGACTGTGTCCACTCAATACCAGACCTGACTACTACGCGACAACGCATGAATGAAATTTCGGATAAAGAAAGTTTATAATCTGGGATTAATTCACAAAGAAAGTATTTTTTTATCTTTACAATTGCGATGCGATCAGAGTCGGGTCTGTACCCGACCCGTCTGTACCCGTGGAGCAGGGTGACTATGAATTTGGATCGAAATTTAAGATAGAAAGTCCTGGTAGAACGCGAAAGTGTATTTATCATTTACAAACATTAATTATCATCCGAGCTATGATTACGTTGGCGGGTGCAATAAAACATTAATCTATATTCGTGGTGTGCTCGTTTTTTCGCCATAACGAGTCTTCAGTGAGCCGGAGACAGTTGAATAATGAAACCGTTTCTAAAACAGGTGAGGAAAAAACAAAAAAAAAATTAAAAAATGTTAAAATACTAGCGCATCTAATGTAGATCATTTTCTGTTTTTTTTTTTCTAAATTAATATGCACACGCTTTGTTCTTTGTTTTTGATCTTTTGTACCGTTACCAGATTTAAATGTTATTTTCTTTTTTTATCCATCATGGAAACTGGGGGATTTTTTTCCAAAACAAAAATTAAGTTTTTAATTAATCGAGATCTAATTTATGTAAACGAATTAACTACACGTTTTTTTATACTGTTTCTCTATACGATTATAATAATTTATTTACTCTCGACTTTTTATTTGGTTTTATAATTCATATGAAAACGCTTCTCGCTTACCCCAATTCGGAGGGATAAATTCAATTAACCCGAATCCAAAAGGAAACAATGAAAGGAATAATAATAAACGCGATATGTAACCGCTTAAGTTATTTTAATTGTGAATAAAGGCAATTTATTTAAAACTAGGTTCAAGTTAGGTTCATGAATATTTTTTTTATTGCCCTTGTAGGTAGACGAGTACACACACGGCCCACCTGATGGTGAGTGGTTACCGTCACCCATGGACTTCAGCAATGCCAGGGGCCGAGCCAAGCCGCTGCCTACCGCTATCATGAAATTGACAAAAATAAATTGGAAAAAAGAGCTCCTTGTGTAAATGGCCCTCCTTGTCTAAAGCTGCAGAGTCTATCGAGAAACTTATTGTTCAGGGTAGGGTCAATAGTAAAAGATCACATGGACAAAGCCCCATGCGCAGAACTGATCAGATGAAAATCCTTACCAAACCAAGACCCTTACCAAAGCGAAAGACCTTACTAAAACCCCACTTAACGTGTGCGTGCGCCAAGCCTCAGCTCGCGAACTATGGAGAACGGCTGTCAAGGCTTTAAAAAACAAGGAAGGACATGACCACGACTGCTCTACTGAGAGTAACCGACTGTGATAGTGATCTCTAAAGTGTTACCGGAGCATGTGGGCCAGTGGTACACGCCACTGTCCTTTTCTATTCATCCGTTCTGGTGTAGAACATCAAGGCTTGGCAAAAGGCGGTGCTTTGGCTGTTGCCAAGGCTACGTTGAAATAGTATCTGGTATTAATGCGGGGATGCCGGCACCGCTGCTGTGGAACTCGGTAAGAAGAGTGAGATTGGCTTGCCACAAACGCTCGATAAAAGAAGACAATGCTTCGTTTTGAGTGAGCTGATCTAAGTTATGAAGATAGCTTGGGCAGTGATCCACGAACTCCCATCACATGTGGACAACTCGGAGACTACATTACTATCTTAGATTCTACCTAGACCTTGGGTGGTAAAAGAATGCATCATTCGCAAAATTTCGTCGCATACAAAATCCTCATTTTAGCAGAGCATTCATGTTTTTCCATTTCAGATTGAAAATTATTATCTGGTTCAAAATTTTCTTGCTGTGGACCAATTCTGTGGTCTCTAGTAACGTATTTAACATCAGGCGAACAATGATCTGTCAAGTAGACAAGAGATTTAGCGAAATGAAAAATATCCTTATACGATATCTCCACAGAGTTCTAAATTTACTTATTTCGTGATTAGTGGTCGATTAGCTGGACACAGAATTCGTTTAACTATTTTCCCTTCGTTCATGATGGGATCACATCACAAGTTAAATCCCGCCGTTTTGAGATAGTAGGTTGAAGTATCTGCGCTTTGTAGCGGCTGAAGTACCCAACCCAATACAACATCTCAGACGAGAATCATAGAGTTTTGTTGTCTGCAAATATTTAGAGAAAGCGAATCGACAACTTCGCAAACCCTTGCTTACATCAGAAAAAAAGTAACCAGTTTTTTAGTTTTATATATTAACTTTTGGTATACAAATTGCTTTTTTTTTTCAATTAATTGAACAGTCAATTAAAAATAAAATTTGGTAACGGCATTTATCTTTGAGTTATGCATAGCATGTGTGATAGCGTCACATGTGTGCTGGCATTGGAGAAAACAACTCAGAAATGTGAGGTCGGCCGTGACCTCATCCGTCTGCGGAATAAAATAATATCAAAGTGGAATTCTTTGTAAACAGAAGCTAATCATGTAGCATAGTGTCCGACAAATCTTGAAGTTACCATGCTCCCTGAGTGCTAAGGTTTATTTGCTAAGGTGTATTTGCGCGCTTCGCTCAGAGCGCGTCACCTCGTCTTGTTGCCTCAACTGCCTTTAATCTCGTCCAATACTCGGTTGTATGATGAAGATCCACAGGAGCTTTAGTCTGTCTAAGCCCGACAGGGGCCGCCTACCATCCTCAACGCCTCCAACGATTTGGAACAAAAAAAATACCTCTAAATGGTAAATAGTGACTTGGCATATAGACGCGTACTTCGGTAGCAAAAAAGCACTTCACTTATCCAAGATATTCTTCATTTAAAACCAGAACTGGAGAATAACGTGTTTCCATTTAATCTTCCAGACATGGGCGGTATCTGCAGTTCTTATAAACATGGTCGGGCAGGGTATACTGCTGAGCTACACCACAAGTCTCCTGCCAGCTCTACAAGCACCTGACTCTCCCATACCAACCGATTTGGATACGGCTTCATGGCTATGTGAGTGTTCTTGATTTTGTTAAACAAGTTATTTGTAGTGGTTGTGAGGTTTGAAAGACTAAAATAGTGATAAACAGCTTAACGCCAAGTTCGACGTAACGGAAAAGCGACACTGAAAAAAGACAAACATATACAACAATGCGACTATTTAGCCTGCGAGAGAATGAGATAGAATACTTCAAAAGTTCTTACTTCTATCCCTTGCAAGCGGGATAGGTGCTTTGTACCGTAAAATTTATAATATTACCCACTATAGGGCCTAAGTTTGTCTTTATTTATTAATTCAACGCCATTCCGATAGAGGCACCCGTCACGTGCGGACGTGCCCATCGACCACTCGATCGCCCGGCCTTTGTTCGCCCGGCTTTTGTTAGCCCGGCCATTGTTCGCGCGGCCTGTGTTCGTGGTACATCTGCCGACCAAGTGTTTTTTCCTGGAAGTTTTTATTTGTTTTGTTTCCTTTCGTTATTTCTGTGTTCGTGGTACATCTGCCGACAAACTGCTTTCCTGGAAGTGTTTAATTGTTTTGTTTCTTTTTGTTATTTCCGTTTTGTTGTGTTTTTTCTTTGTCCTGTAGTAATCGTGCCGCATCGCCACCTGTGTTCAATAGAACCGCTCAGGTCCGAGAAGTTGGGGCCTCGCCGCAAGGCGAGTGTCTTCAAGACCCGGGGCCGCCNGAATATAATCGTCTCCTTCAAAGAATACGGTTCAAAACCTGCATTATATAAAGGTTAATAGTTAACCTGTTATTTATCTAAGATGTCGTTCCGAAGAGTTTTGTGACTGCCAATGGAATACAAAGTCAATAATTCGTTTTTCTGATTTACCAATCATTGTCCAAAAGTCAGATTGCCGCCTTTGATAATAGTCGACTCATATCTTGGTTTGAGGATAAGGTATAGTGCACACTCATATTGAGCGATGCGACCATAAGAAAGTCTTTGTCACTGAGACTTCTATCTAATGTGCAATGGCGGGAGACGGTTTCACTAAATGGAAAAAAATACAGTAATAAATTGCGCCTTGATATAGCGTACATATTTTTTTTATTGCTTAGATTGGTGGACGGGCTCACAGCCCACCTGATATTAAGTGGTTACTGGAACCCATAGACATCTACAACGTAAATGCACCACCCACCTTGAGATATAAGTACTAAGGTCTTAGTATAGTTACAACGGCTGCCCCACCCTTCAAATCGAAACGCGGTATTGCTTCACCGCAGAAATAGGCAGGGCAGTGGTACCTGCCCGTGCGGGCTCATAAGAGGTCCTACCACTAGTAAAATACAAGTACATTCATTATTGCGAACCCAGATTCTTCACCTTCGTGGTTCTTGGTGATTTTTTAAAACATCCCAAAGAATATCTAGAAGGATAATGGGAGGAGATGGTCACGACCCTCAGACATGAGAAATGCGTCCCAAGGAGGAGGAAAGAATATCTATGATTTATTAATATCTACGAATCGCTACAATTTCATAACATCATTAATAGCTTGACCTAGTTCTAGGAATCCAACCTAGATTGCATAGAGATTTGCAAGGTTTTCTAACCATTGTTTTATTGGGAAATTTTGTCTAGCTTTACCAGTTTAATCTTAAGGTACTTCCATAGTGACCACGCTTACAAACTAGATTGATCGTACGTTTTATGTTTTCACACTGCGAATAACTACATATTGATTGTGGCCACAAGTTTGTTTATAATAGTAATTGGGAACAAATCACGTACGGTCATCCGGGCCCAAATTAGGATCCCCTGTGTTATACCAGATACTGACATACATACATACAGACTTATTTACGTTTATGTATGTAACCTCTATATGATTTATGACATCTATTTTTTTCCTACCTATGCTGATAGCCTTGAGCAGTGGCGTAGCTACCCAGGGGCTAGGCGGGGCAGTGCCCCGGGGCCCTCAAGCTCAGGGGGCCCTCGAATCCTTACCAGAAATCTCGATCGAACTGAAGTTTCGAAATTTCTCCTATTTTATCCTCCTCTTAAAAATATGACAGGCTGCAACCCCACTTTAATCATGACAACTCAAATGAGAGAAATTCAAATGTTATGCTTAGGGAATTCCCCTAAATTCTTTCTGTAGGTTGGCAGTGTTGTCAATTTGACGAATAGTGATATGTGCGTTTTATTATTCATCGAGGTGCGTTTTATTGTGAATTCGAGTTAAGATTTTTTTTTATCGAGAACGGTTAAGAAATTAATACTGTATCAGGAGTAAGTAAGCTCGTAGAGGCCGCGCGACGCGCTACCAGCAGTGTTTGCGCGCTTATTAAGGAGTGGGATGCTCGAAGTGGTGTTCGGAGGGTGACCCCTTTTGAAGAGCACCGCTGTGCTTTTCGTGGGGTTGATTCGTGACATAAATCTTAAAAAAGGTTATAATATGATATACAGGTGACATGAATGGTATTTTGAATATTGAAGCATTAGAAGAAGAAACATTAGAAATATTAAAACAATTTTGAATATTGAATTTAAAAAAAAACATAAAAACTGGTCAAGCAATAGCTTTAAATGCTGTTTCTCTTTATAGAGCAACTCAGTTTGTGCTATAGTTTTACTGGGCTAAACTTTATTTTGGTGTGAATAAAATAATACATTATACGTATACAGATACTATACACACAGACAAAGACCAAACAAATTCAGCACAGGAATATCTGTTCGACTTCAGACACAAGTTTTAATCGCCTCTTGTGTACAAGAGAGAGAGAGAGAGAGAGAGAATACACTTTATTGCACACCAAAACACAATTTACATTCAAAAAACAATCAAAAAAAGCAGATACATTTGTAAAATAGGCGGTCTTATCGCTAAAAGCAATCTCTTTCAGATAACCTTTTAATTTATAGAAATTCTGGAAAATATAAAAAATATAGCAGGTATGTTGCGGTGTACTATAGATAATATATTATAGAAAATATATACATACAATAAACAAAATATATACCGTTTACATATAATATGAAATATATCCCAATATTTATATACCAATTATGTAACCAATATACATACTTACATACAATACATACTAATATACTTACATACACATAATACATCAACAGTATAGAACAGTACAACGCTTCGAGAGAGACTCTAGATGGCCGATATATCGCGCATCCCCCGTGCTATCATCCGCATAGCAATGCATGCCATCAATAGATACTTAGCATTTATTGATATGCAGTATGAAAAGCGTGGAGGAGAGCACCGAACCTTGTGGAACACCAGCGTCGATGGTCATGGTATGCAATTAATGTTGCTAAAATGCAATCCAAAAGGTTTTAAGATATTTCCTTCATCGTTCAGGCCATTGGTTTGTGAAATGCACTCCCAATACGTATTTAGTATCCATAAATACGCATTATATCAATAAAAAAAGCATTACACACACTACCATGTATTTGACACAACGCATACATAAAAACATACTCTTTGTTTACTGTCAATTGGGAAACTTTTGTTATTGTTTAAGGCTGTGGTCGAATTGAGAATAGATTAATATTGTTTATAGATTAATATTGTTTGTCTTTAATATTATTGATATAGAGCGCGTTTTAGCGAATACTGTGATTATATTATCGAATTATAATAGTTTTTGACAATAGAACCATAACAATGTTTAAACTTATAATTATATTTTTTTTTTATTGCTTATATGGGTGGAAGAGCTCACAGCCCACCTGGTGTTAAGTGGTTACTGGAGCCCATAGACATCACAACGTAGATGCGCCACCCACCTTGAGATACAAGTTCTAAAGTCTCAGTATAGTTACAACGGCTGCCCCACCCTTCAAGCCGAAACGCATTACTGCTTCACGGCCGAAATAGGCAGGGCAGCGGTACCTATCCGCGCGGACTCACAAGAGGTCCTACCACCAGTAATTACGCAAATTATAATTTTGCGGGTTTGTTTTTTATTACACGATGTTATTCATTCATCGTGAAGTCAATCGTGAACATTTGTTGAGTACGTATTTCATTAGAAAAATTGGTACCCGCCTGCGGGATTCGAACACCGGTGCATCGCTCAACACGAATGCAACGGACGTCTTATCCTTTAGGCCACGACGACTGCAATTTCAATTAATTAAAGTCGAATTTCGACTACTGCGGGACCATTAGTTTTAACAATTTCTTTTCGCCCACTAGTTGTCGCGCTGAGTGGACGTGTGTAGTTTGCTGCTCGTAGTTTATATTAATGTAATTGAATTGTTTAGTTTTATTAAAGTTTAGAGTTTGTGTCTGTTGTGTGGGGCCTTGGTCTTCAAACTCGGGCCCTCTCGTTTCTGCTTGGGTCTACGGCCATTTAGCTTCGCGGCCATTTTGAAAAGTATCGGATCTCTCGCTTTCGGATTGATGCTTTTGTTGGCTGACTGTGAATCTGGAACAAACTGTGAGTGTGTTGGACNTTACATTATTCGTTAGATTAGTTTTTGTTATTGTGTTGTTTTGTCATAATTGTAAGGAACATTGTTATACAAATTCAGCACTATATGTCTTGTTTTGTCGTGCGCACATGTCTTATGTTGCAAGCCAGATTTTGTTTCTTTTTGTTTGTGTTTTTTGTGTATCTTTAGCTTGTGATGTGTGTTGTGAGCCTAATAAAATAAATAAAAAAATAAAAATTAGTTGTCAGCTTAATTAAATTATGTCAGGGTAAATAGTTCGATTAGTGTATGCAAATTATTGCATGCATGATAGGAATTTTTTTAAAATTGTATTTTTATTTTTATTTTTAAAATGTAACATTTTCATTATATTATTGTATTTGTATATATGTGTATATATATTTTAAACAAGTAGGTACGCCTTCATTCATTTATCTCAGTAGCTGTTTTCTGTTAACTTCTGGTCGTCTGGTAGAGATCGCTTTTAGCGATACGACCGCCCATTGTACATTTTGTATTTGATGTTAGGCATTTTTGTCTTGATTTTGCATTGGTGTACAAATTTTTTTTACTGGTGGTAGGAACTCTTGTGGGTCCGCACGGGTAGGTACCACAGCCCTGCCTATTTCTGCCGTGAAACAGTAATGCGTTTGAAGGGTGGGGCAGCCGTTGTAACTATACTGAGACCATAGAAATTATATTTCAAGGTGGGTGGCGCATTTATGTTCTAGATGTATATGGGCTCCGGTAACCGCTTAACACCAGGTGGGCTGTGAGCTTGTCCACCCATCTAAGGAATAAAAAATAAAAATAAAAAAAATGAAAAATAATACTCCGTTGACTTAGTAGATCAAAACTAATTTTTATAATATTTCTTTTCAGCGTCATCGGTTGGCATTTCTGGAATACCTGGTTTCTTCATGTCCTCGACTCTTATGGAAGCATACGGACGAAAAGTTGCCCATTTTATTATCATGATGCCCGGACTGATAGGCTGGTTATTGATATACTTCGGTAACAACATCCCCGTGCTAATGATAGGGAGGATTCTGGGTGGAATGAGCGCTGGCGGTACAGTCGCGTTAGGAGCCATTGTCATCGGAGAATACAGTAGTCCGAAATATCGAGGAATGTATTTAAATATGAAAACAGCTTCGGTATGCTTAGGGGGGATGCTCGTCCATATCTTAGGACACTTTTACAATTGGAGGACTGTCGCTTTGCAAGCAACGATTCCATATATTATTTCAATGGCGATCATTAGCACGTGGCCCGAGAGCCCTGCGTGGTTAATATCGAAGCAGCAATACGAGCAAAGCGAAAAAAACTTCTATTTTCTGCGTGGAAAGACAGAAGAATCGTACAGAGAACTGGAAAACATGATGCAATCGCAAACCAATAGAGTTGCGACGAAGACGAAAGAATTAACATTTACGGATAAGCTAGTTGATTTCTTAAAGAAATTCACGAAGAAGAACTTCTTGAAGCCGCTCTTTATATTACTGAACGGAACTATCCTGTTAGAAACGTGCGGCCGACACATATTCCCCGCTTACGCATTGCAGATTATAGCCGAAATTACTGGGAGCAAATCGCAATCATTTTACTACACAATGTGCATAGATGTGATTATAACTGTTAGTGCGGTTTGCTCTTCCATATTAGTCAAAGTGATGAAAAGACGTACCTTACTTTTTTCTACCGGATTTGCTGCGTTTTTTGTCTTAATTATTGTTTGTGCTTATCTATTTTTGGTGGCTCAGGGAGTGATACCTGATAAATACCACTGGGTTCCTATAGCTTTATTTGTGGTTTATTTTATTCTTGCTAATTTAGGTTGCACCCCGATACCTTTGGCGTTTTTAGGAGAACTATTCCCGTTGGAGCATAGGGGAGCGGGTTCAGCTGTAGCAGGGATATTCATGTCCGTTATACTCATGCTTGGATTACTTTTAACACCCCATTTATTAGCCAAGATCGCTGTGCACGGTACGTTCGCTGTTTTCGGCATTATTATGGGTATTTCTTTGGCAATATTATATGTCACATTACCCGAAACGAAAGATAAGACGCTTCAAGAAATCGAGGATTACTTTAATTACGGTAAATTTAAGGACTTCAAAAATGTTGAAGAGCCAGACGTTAAAACTAAAATGCTTAAGTGAAGTGAAGTTTGTATTTTGGAAGCAGAAGAGAGAGAGAGGAAGCAGAGGAACCATAAGAAATGGCAGAAAGTATTTAATTGCACGTTTACCGACCGTTTTTGAAAAGCCTGCCGCTTTGAAACTAGTCGATAGATAAGAGATATAAGACCGTAAAATAGGGACTTGAATCTGTATTTTTAAGCAAGCAAGACCGTGTGTCTCATCTGGTTATTAGCAGTTACTATAAGTTCAGGTACTTCCAAATGAAAAAGACGCCGTAACCTCAGGAGCTAAAAAAGGGTTTGAACTACCTTTTCAAATTTCAATTGAATAGAAGTCATAGCGTTTGGTAATTGAAGCGAAATTTCTAGTAATACCGAATGGAATGTGATAAAAAAAATAAAAAAACGCCTTAAAACGTACTGTGGAGAAATTTAATAATTGTAAATAGTCTCTGGGATAAGAATGAACGGATTCTATGTGATGGTAAATAAAAGGTAACGGAATAACTTCAAATAATTCAAAAAGCCACGTTGTAGCATGTAATTAAGTAAATAGTATTCGAACCGTCGCAAATAATATAAGGACATTAAAAAACGCGTGAAAAACTAGTTTTAATTATGGTATACGAACCGTGAAAACCGAAGTAAGTACACGAAATACCAGGACTCTGGACCGCAAACACCCTATAATTTTTTTTTATTGCCCTTGTAGGCAGACGAGCATACGGCCCACCTGATGGTGAATTATTACCGTCACCCATGGATTTCAGTAATCCCAGGAGCTGAGCAAAGCCGCTGCCTACCAACTTTTGACGTCCTTGACTCCTTTTGACTTCGACACAGAAGATAACTGTTCGGTTTTTTAGTAGGTCTTTTCTACGAAACTAGTTTGGCGCAACCGAGACATTAAATGGAAGGCTCGATTGTATAATACAACTGCTGTCCCACCCTTAAAACCGGAATGCCTAATTGGTTCGCGGTAGGAACACGTAGACCCGTAAAACCAACCTGTGTGGACCAACAAAGACCAGTATCTGAAAACACTGCTGCCCTTTGTCGAGTGAGTCGGGTCCTTTACCTTTCTTTATATACGGGAAAAGATGGAGTAGTGTTGTCCTAAGTCTACAGCACACAGACTATTCCAGATGATCTTGTCATCTGCTGTAACCATTGGACAACCGGCCACTTGAGCAGAGTTCGTCATTATCTGGTACCTCGCCGTTCTCCTACAAAGAATTTACCTATAAAATTTGATATACCATCCGGCTCCTGAATTTACTTCCCTTCTGAAGGTATAGATCAGCATATTTCTGAAGAGAAAATCATTAAGAGCTGGATCAAAGAGTTTTTATGATCCGGCGTGCCTGATAAAATAATCAATGTTCCTGACGAAAGAGTTGGGGCAATATTAATTTAATGTATTTTCAAGTTTTAAATGGTAAACTTTCGAATAAAACTGGATCTGTCTCCACTGTAACTAATGGTAATCCAAGAAATATCCTTTTGAAAGATCCCGCGTGACTTTCTTACGTAGATTAATGTGACAGAAACCTTGTAACTGCCAAAATTGCATCGAGATTCATTCCAATGGGATGAATAATGTATGAACGCGTTTAGGACAAACATACAAAGAAACTGTCAGGTTTTTTTTAAGATATTGTAATTAATAAGTTAAAACATTATTTTTTTTCTATTTTATAACGAATGTAAATATTAGGTACTTCATGATTTGTGTATTAATGCAAATGATAATTTTTTAAATATTATATTAAATTAATATTATATATAACTTTTATTTCGTTGGTTATCCTTCCGGACATCATTGAAGATTCGACGAAAACCAAAGTGCTTTCTTGAGACTCTAAGGACTAAATAGACATATATATTTTTATAGCTATCCGGTTGTGCACTTGCATTGCATACTTAGACCCTCTAAATGGCCAAAAATTTGCCCGAGCATCCAGTCTGGTCTAAAGCTCGTATAACGATAGATAAACTGGTCAGAACGGTACTAATACACACCCGGGATTAATTAAAAACATGTTTTGATCCTCGGGTAAGTCGATGTCCAACAGGGGATGTGATTCAGTTAAAAAAATTGAAATAAGTACTAAGTATATAAGTACCACCATCCTGCCTATTTCTGGGGTGAAGCACTCATGTGCTCCGGTTTGTTCTAACTATTACATAAATCTAGTGAAGTCCGGTAAATTTCCGCTGTGACATAAAAACTAGTTGAGCGCCACCTATCGAACTTTGATGCTACTAGAACTGTAATATTCTCTGAGATGCCAACTTTTTTTCCTACCTAAGCTGATGGCCTTGAGATGTCATTCCAGCGTAACCCTAGCAAGTAGGTGAGCTCACGGGGCTCAAACCTGACGACGTTGCTAACACTAACCCCCGCCGTGAAGTCGTCGTAGTCTAAGGGATGAGACGTCCGGTGCATTCGTTTTGAGCGATGTACCGGTGTTCGAATCCCGCAGGCGGGTACCAATTATTCTAATGAAATACGTACTCAACAAATGTTCACGATTGACTTCACGATGAATGAATAACATCGTGTAATAAAAATCAAACCCACAAAATTATAATTTGCGTAATTACTGACGGTAGGAACTCTTGTGAGTCCGCGCGGGTATGCACTTACCACCCTATCTATTTCTGCCGTGAAGTAGTAATGCGTTTCGGTTTGAAGGGTGGGGCAGCCCTTGTAACTATACTTGAGACCTTAGAACTTATATCTCAAGGTAGGTGGCGGCATTTACGTTGTAGATGTCTATGGGCTCCGGTAACCACTTAACACCACGTAACTATACTGAGACCTTAGAATTTATATCTCAAGGTGGGTGGCGCATTTACGTCGTACATGTCTACACGAAACACGAAATTAAAATCCTACCAGACGAATTTATAGATCTGGTCATGAGTACACGGTATTATTATATATATGTAATATATGTACAACAGAAATTTCATCTTCACGTCTCAAACTGGCTGGTAAGCTGTGAATTTATTCATCAATCTAGACAAGAAACAAAAAAAGCTTCAAAAGACGCTTACAAACTTCGCTCTTTGAAATTTCAATAGTGCTGTGAAATAACCTTCTCAAAACAAAACTTGAAAAGTTTTCCTGGATTTAACTATGTCCATGATTGACCCTGGCTCTAGGATCAGGCCGGCTAAAACTTGTGGCGTTTAAGTACGAACCATGTTATGATGCGTAAGCCGGAACGCACGAGATGTGGGAAACGGAATATAGTCTGTGACACGGGACCTTTTTACCGCCGAAAATTTAAAACGTAAAAATAAATTATAATGTGTTTATTAACTAATGTAATATAATTACTTAGAATTGTTTATGCCGCTACAACAATAAAATTTATATTGTTTCAACTGTGGTGTTAATTACATAAAACACGACTTTACGGCGAAATAAAGAAGGGACTCTATATGAACTCCCTTAAACTTTCACCTGCGAAGGCAATTAAAATCAACCTGGAAACGCCCATCAACCACCTACGTCAATCTTACATGTCTATCAATATAATATCGGGAAATAACACTGAAGTATGACACCTAAATTACGATCAGAATCAGAAACAAGATATGTCAAATTTGACAGAATTCGATAATGTATCTACAATTGATAATGTTTTTGTGAAAAGTTTCTTGTTCGAGACATTACAAGGATTTTTATTGCAATAGACATTTGGAGGCTATTTCGTTTGATAATTGATTCCAGCCATGAGGATCTGTGTCTTGTTCTTAAAGTAAACAATAGTTTTTAGATAAAATTGTTAAAGAAATGTTTGATATTGAATCTTCTGTCACTAATCCGAAGATTTATTTTTGTTGGAATTGGGAAATATTTCAATACAACTCTTATTAGATTTCTTTACAAACACGATGTAATATATTTTCTCACAAGTAACATTTTTTTAAGGGATTTTATGAACTGGTAACTAAGACCCTTAGGTCAAGTTTTATTTTAATTTATATTTTTATTGCTAATTACTTTATAAACACGATGCAATATATTTTCTCACATGTAACATTTTTTTTAAAGGATTTTATGACCTGGTAACCTTATTTTAATTTATATTCTTATTTTTATGAAATATGATAATACGAAGTGATATGAAATGAAATGAAATGAGATGAGATGATATGGTAAGAAATATAATCTCAGTAAAATGGTGGTCATTTAATTGAGGACATTATTGGAGGATCCCGAAAAGTTACGTTCAGCGGCTTTGTTTGATTTTCCCACATCTGTGCACTTTCACAGATACTAAACAGTGAATAAACCACCGTTGTTACACATTTAACCCTGAAGAAACACTAAATAGACAAAATAAAACAAATCACACAACTTCATTCGTCGCGTTCCCGCCAAAAAGTCTCACAAGTAACATTAGTCTATATTCGCATAGATAATACATATAAAATAACACATAAAATAAAAGCAGCCCGCAACAAAACGTTTACAAAGACACCTACCTATTAATTACTTTATTAATTAATTCAACAATGACCTTTTCGCATTAAAAGTGTACATATTCCAACAATATTCGAAATTAAGTTAATATGCGGAAACCTTTGGTATCACCAGTATTTTTTTCATAAATACTGTCAAAAGAGCGTAGTTTAGTTTTAGTTTTTTTAGGTTACCTTTGTTTTGAGTACTATTAAGAAAATTCATTCATAATTTTATCTTACTTTAAAAGACAGATAATGTTACTTGTAAAAAATAAATGTTGCAAAGATGTTTAATATTAAAAATATGACGTGATAATAAACCTTTAAAACACTCTCCTGTAAAATTAGTAAATTCTGAGATTATACAGTTTTAATGTGATTTTTTTCCTACCTATGCTAATAGCCTTGAGGGGCTATTTCAGCTTCACCCTAACGTTTGTAGGTGAGCTCACGGGGTTCAAACCGGAGTAACACTGACTCTAGCAAGAGCAGTTCTTCGCAGAATCTACCACCGGATCGGAAACGCGACCCACTGAG